CTGTTTCTGTTTGGTTCTTCAGCTGTTTCTGTTGGTTCTTCAGCTGTTTCTGTTTATTTCTTCAGCTGTTTCTGTTGTTTCTTCAGCTGTTTCTGTTGGTTCTTCAGCTGTTTCTGTTTATTTCTTCAGCTGTTTCTGTTGGTTCTTCAGCTGTTTCTGTTTATTTCTTCAGCTGTTTCTGTTGGTTCTTCAGCTGTTTCTGTTTGGTTCTTCAGGAACAGACTCGGAGCCGAGGGTGGACTTCAGGGTGGACGAGAGCTCAGACGTCCCGATCCTGGAGGACCGGTCTTCGTCTCCCACCGACTTCCCTCAGGAGCAGTGGCTGGTGGGCTTGGACATAGAAAACATAGAAAGGTAATCTCCCTGTTTTTAGATTAGATTAATTTTTTATGGTCTTTTAGCTTTTTGTTACTAAAACCTCCTTTTTTAGTAAAACTGTTCAGGAGATRGGTTTGAGCTAGCCTAATGCCTTTAGCTTTTTTCTTCTTCAAGGCAGCTGTTTTGGCATTTTGCATAGCTTTAGCCTTTAGCTTTTTTTTAGCTTCTCACTAGTCTGTTTCTACTTTTAACTCTAGCTAGTCTTTTTCTGCTTTTGGCTTCTATATAACATTTTGTTGCCTCGTTTGTCATTTTTGATTTAGCTAGCCTTTGCTAATTCTAGCTTCTAGCTAGCTGTTTGATACATTTGGCTTCTAGTTAACCTTCCAAATGTTTTAGCTTTTAGCTAGACTTTTGTTRTTTTAAGTAACATTTAGTTKATTCTAGTTAAGCTTTTGCTACTTTTAGGTTTTAACWAACATTTAGCTACTTTTAGCTTTTTGCTAGCCTATTTGTACTTTCAGCTAGTCTTTTGTTGGTTTTCACTTCTTGTTACTTGCGGCTTATAGCTACCCTTTAGCTTTTTGTCTGTTTTTGTTTAGCCTTTTGATAATTGTAGCTTCTTGCTAGCAGTTTAACACTTTTGGCTTCTGGCTAAAATAACAAAAATAGCTATCCTTTAGCCACTTCTGTGTAGCCTTTTGTTATATTTAGGTAACACTTTGCTTTTTGCTTTATTTTACGTGTTGTTAACCTTTAGCTTCTTTTAGGTTTTACATTTAGCTACTTTTAGCTTCTTTCCTAGCCTATTTTTACTTTTAGCTATAGCTAGACTTTTGCTGATTTTAGCTTTTAGTTCACTTTGTAATACTTTTGGCTTCTAACTAACCTGTTAGCATTTTGTATTTTTAGTCTTGAGCTACTTAGCTAGCTGCTGGATATGTTTGGCTTCTAGCTAAACTTGCCAAAGTTTTAGCTTCTAGTGAGTATTGTTAGCTTTAGGTAACATTTTGTTGTTCTAGTTAGCCTTTTGTTTCATATTGCACGTAGTTAACCTTTTGCTACTTTTAGGTTGTAGCTAGTCTTTTGCAGCTTTTGTTTTCTATTTAGCTGTTTTAGCTTTAGCAGCTCAGTTTCAGCTTCCTAACTAAATTTTTATAAATTCATCCAGCGCTCATCGTTCACACTGTATCAGAGAGAAAATGCAGGTTTTTTATTAATCTGTTTTTGATGTTGATTAAAACGTTTTTCCTCAGAATAATTTATAAAAAGTGAGTAAAAACCTGATTTATTTATTCTTGTTTGTTTCTCAGAGACATGAGAGAGATGAGAAATTTACTCAGTAAACTCAGGGAGACGATGCCGCTGCCGCTGAAGAATCAAGGTATTTATTGTTTTACGTTTATTCATAAAAGCGTAGAACAATAACCGTTAAAAAGTGATATAATTTGGTTTGTAAAGTGGAGGTGTGGTTGGTTGCAGACGACAGCAGCTTGTTAAATCTGACCCCACACCCTGTGAACCGGCAGAGGAAGAGACGTTTCCCTGGACTCTGCTGTATGGTCTCTGGCTGAGAGTGGGACCACCRTCAACAAACACAGGAAAGAACTTTTATTTCAGATTTGACACATTCAGAAACTTTTGTTTGTTTTTAGAATATCTCAAATTGTAATCTGAGATCATCTGGGTCTGATCCTGTTTTTTTGTTCTAATCGTGCTGTTTGTTTTGACTCAGACTGCTTTGGTTCAGGTTGTTTTAGTGAACAGAGTTTTACTTTCTGTTTGGAGTTGATTATTTTCAGATGTTTTTTATTTTTCTCAGCACATAAACACTGGCTGTTAGAGTTACAGTCAGAGCTGAAGCAAATATAACTGCTGCGTTAAAAACACAAGCAGAAATTTAGATTTATTTAGAAATGTCACATCGATTTATTTTCTTCTTCTGTTTTTATATAATTAAAACTAATAAATGTAAATATTCAGGCTATGCACAGGCGTTCTCATTTTCCTGCCTTCGTATCTGACCATGTCTCCATGTAAAAAGTCATAAAAGCATCATTCAGTGTTTCTCTGCTAATCTGTGTGACGTGCAGCATGTTGACCAAGATAATCCTCTACACCAGTGGTTCTCAAACTGTGGGTCACACCCTCCATCGAGGGTGCTGAGTCATGTCATGGGGAGTGTCGAGTCATATTGAGGGATGAGGGTGCATTGTCATGTTGCAGGGTTACTGTGTCATGTCAGGTGGTGCAGTGTCATTTTAAAGGAGTGCTGTGTCATGTTGCAGTGTTACTGTGTCATGTCAGAAAGGTGCTGGGTCATGTTAGAGGAGTGCAATGTCATGTTAGAGGAGCGCAGTGTCATGTTGGAAGAGTGCTGTGTCATGTTGAAGGGTGCTGTGTCATGTTGGAGGAGTGCTGTGTCATGTTGAAGGGTGCTGTGTCATGTTGATGGGTGCTGTGTCATGTTGATGGGTGCTGTGTCATGTTGAAGGGTGCTGTGTCATGTTGGAGGGTGCTGTGTCATGTTGGAGGAGTGCTGGGCCATGTTGGAAGAGTGCTGTGTCATGTTAGAGGAGTGCTGTGTCATGTTGGAGAAGCGCTGTGTCATGTTGGAGAAGTGCTGTGTCATGTTGGAGAAGTGCTGTGTCATGTTGAAGGGTGCTGTGTCATGTTGAAGGGTGCCGTGTCATGTTGGAGGAGTGCCATGTCATGTTGGAGGACTGCTGGGCTATATTGCAGGGTTACTGGGTCATGTCAGGTGGTGCAGTGTCATGTTGAAGAGTGCTGTGTCATGTTAGAGGAGTACCGTGTCATGTTAGAGGAGTGCCGTGTCATGTTGGAGGAGTGCCAAGTCATGTTGGAGGAGTGCCGTGTCATGTTGGAGGAGTGCCATGTCATGTTGGAGGAGTGCCATGTCATGTTGCAGTAGTGCCGTGTCATGTTGCAGTAGTGCCGTGTCATGTTGCAGTAGTGCCGTGTCATGTTGCTGGAGTGCCGTGTCATGTTAGAAGAGTGCCATGTCATGTTAGAGGAGTGCCGTGTCATATTGGGGGGTGCCATGTCATTTTGGAGGAGTGCCGTGTCATGTTGCAGGAGTGCCGTGTCATGTTGCAGGAGTGCCGTGTCATGTTGCAGGATTGCCATGTCATGTTGGAGGATTGCCGTGTCATGTTGGAGGATTGCCGTGTCATGTTGGAGGATTGCCGTTTCATGTTGCAGGAGTGCCGTGTCATGTTAGAGGAGTGCCGTGTCATGTTGCAGGAGTGCCGTGTCATGTTAAAGGAGTGCCATGTCATGTTGGAGGAGTGCCGTGTCATGTTGGAGGAGTGCCGAGTCATGTTGGAGGAGTGCCGAGTCATGTTGGAGGAGTGCCGAGTCATGTTGGAGGAGTGCCGTGTCATGTTAGAGGAGTGCCGTGTCATGTTAGAGGAGTGCCCTGTCATGTTGCAGGAGTGCCGTGTCATGTTGCAGGAGTGCTGTGTCATGTCAGAGAGGCGCTGGGTCATATTGAAGGGTGCTGTGTCATGTTGAAGGGTGCTGTGTCATGTTGAAGGGTGCTGTGTCATGTTGCAGGAGTGCTGTGTCATGTTGCAGGAGTGCTGTGTCATGTCAGAGAGGCGCTGGGTCATGTTGAAGGGTGCTGTGTCATGTTGATGGGTGCTGTGTCATGTTGAAGGGTGCTGTGTCATGTTGAAGGGTGCTGTGTCATGTTGATGGGTGCTGTGTCATGTTAGGGGGACAATCTGTCATTATGGCAGAGTGCTGACTCACTCCAGAGGAAGAACCACTGCTCCACATTTTGGTGCCAAAAACGCTCCTAGATGTAGAACCGTTTTCTAAAATAAAAATAAAATATTTAAAGGTGATTCAGCAAAAAAAAAATCGATTTAAACCTCGCATCTCAGTTAAAACCTTTAATTTTTGTTGGATGTTGTTGGTTTTACTCAGAATTGTTGAATTTTTGCCGAAGTATCTCTTACAATCTTTGCTTTAACACAAGTTAGAGCTTGKTTTTCAAACAAATTATGCAGAATTTATCTCCATCAGCATGAAGCAAAGCTGTTACTTTAGCTGCTTTTTCAATGAAAGGATGCAAACGTCACAGTAAAACATAAAAACACCATTTAGAGAAAATAAAGKAACATATGACAATAAAACAATAATTTAATGCCACATGGTAGAATTCTATTTCCTCTTGTAATCTGACTTTATAATCGTGCTCAGCCACGACAGATGGGCGATCATGTACCTGCTTCTGTGTGTGTTTGTGTCTGTTAGCAAAATATCTCACAGAACAAGAGGCAGTTTTTAAAACGAAGCTTTCAGGAGGTGGTGATTAGACGTTGGTGCAGTTCAAGATGGCCGCCACAGCTAGCTGATCGTTTCAAGCACAAAAATAACAACTCGGTCAGTTTTAACAGAAGATGTGGAGCTAAAGTTCGGCGTGTTAGCAGCTGAGAGCTAGCTGAGTGCTAACATGCATTTTCATACTGTATAAAGAAGGTTGCATTCCTCCTTTAATAAACTTTCTTTTCTGGCAGAAAGTTTAAAACTTGTTAAATATTTTTGAACTCAGCCGAGTCCCTGAAGGGAAAAAAATACAAATCTGAAATTTCAGCTGTTTTAAAAAAAGAAAAGAAAGAAATCAAACAGAAACAAACAGAAAACCTAAAATAAAGTCTTGTTGGATTCTTACATGAATCTGGAGCTCTGAATGTAAATGTCATGTAATTTAAATGTAATTTAAATGTAATTTAAAAGTATAAATGAATGTTTATTTTAGTGTAAGCTGTGGATGTTGAAGCTGTTTTGTGTTTGGTCCAAACGGACCGTGTGTCGTCCTGCACAGCTGATCTCTACACAACGTTTTATAACTCCAATAAAGTTTGATATAAAACCGTCGTCATGTGTTTGGGTTTTGTTTTCTTGTGGCCTCACCACTCATCAGGACAAAACATCAGAAACTCTTCATCACCTGGTTTCCTCCTCATCATCAGGTCTTCAGGCGTCATCAGAACCTTTTGACTAAAACTTGAAGCTGTTTGAACCAAAACAATGAGCTGATTGTGTAAACAGTGTTTGGACCCTTAAAGAGTCCTCCTCCTCCTCTTCCTCAGAAGGAGCTAAATCAGAACATCTGGTTTGGGTCTCAGCAGCTGGGAAACTCCAGAACTCCTGTGTTCCCGGAACGAGCAGCAGCAGAGTTGGGTAAGAACTTTCTGTGCTCCAGTTTTTCTTCTGAACTCGGCTCGGTGTCGATGTGTTTCTGGGCTCTGATTGGTCGATATGAGCTGGACTTATCTGGGTTTATAGCTAAACCTGGACCAAAGCTCGGATCCAGATCTGCCTGCAGCGCAGAGACCAGCTCCTCTTCTGCTCTCATCAAACTGGAACATCCCTGAAGACGTTTGTTGTGAGTCACTTTAATTATTATTAACTAATATTTTAGTTTTATCAACTAGTTTGGGCTTAATGTAGTTTACCTCTCAGAACCTGCAGCTACATGAAAAACTGTAAATTAAAAGCAAAAAGGAAATGGTTGCAAATTTCACAACAACTTTTTTACATTAAGGTTGAATTTAACAGAACTGCAGAGAAAACGCTTATTGTTGAAAACTTCAGCTGAAAGCTGCTGAAATGAAGCTGAAAATATTTTATAACAAATGATTAATACAAATTCAATTTGAAAAGTCGAAAGAAGCATATAAAAATTTTAACTTAGCAGAATAATAGCTAAAAAGAACAGAAAGATAGCTGAAAAAAAGCTAAAATTAACATAAAAACTATCTAAAGGCAGCAGACACAAGTTGAAAATAGCACCCAGATAATTAAAAATGTCTAATTAGCATAAAAAATGCATAAAAGTACAAAACAAATTGATAATTTGTTGTAAAATAAGTGCAGTAAAACAGCTAAAATGTAGCTGAAAATTCTTCAGTTAGCATAAGGAGCAGGTTTGCTGAAATGTGCATGAAAGAAACGGATACAGCCACCAAAATGTAACATTAGCTTAAAAAAAGGGCAAACTKTAGCTAAAACTGAAGCTAATGTTTGAATATATCAGAAAAAGTTCTAATTAGAAAGAAAAACAAAAAAGCAGAATTTAGAAGAAGAGCAGAAAGGAGCTGCAATATAGCTGAAATTGCATTAAAAAGTTAAAATTAGTAAGAAGTCGATAAATTAGCACAAGGAAGTTAAAAATAGCAGAAGCAGAACAAAAGGTGTAAAGATTTAGAAACATTTTGAAGGATTTTAAAGATGTTGAAAACAAATCTGTTCCTTTTCAAAGRCAAAAATGTGGCCRAAAAAGTAAAGTAGTTAAAAACATACAAATAACTGAAACACCAAAAGAGCCAGAATGTCATCAACAAAATGGTGTCAATAGTGTGAAGAGTTCACACAGTTGTGTGTTTGTTTTGATTAAATGAAACCAGGAGAGGTGTTGTCAGAGGAGGACCACAGTTCCTGTCATGGCTCCTTCCAGCAGCTCCTTCCTGCTGCTGCTGCTCCTCTGCTGCATCTCAGCCAGTCTGGCCTGTTTCTGTGACCGCTACCCCTGGAGCTCCTGGTCCGTCTGCAGCAGAACCTGCAACCACGGSACTCAGAGCAGGAGCAGGTGAGACAAACTGCTCCAGCCTGAGCAGTAATGATTCAGTGTTGCAGAAATCTGCRGATGATGCTGGGAGTCTCTTGTTTCCAACAGGAGCGTTCGATACGAGGATTATTACTGGCAGAACAGCTGTCAGCAGCTGTGTGATTTTTATGGCACCAGAGGTTGTAACCAGCAGGCGTGTCCCATCAACTGCCTGCTGTCGGAGTTCAGCTCGTGGTCCGACTGCTCGCCCTGCGCCAAAAAACAGGCAAGAGGCTCCTCCTCCTTATCTAACAATAATCTACAACAAAAACATTCAGATACACGAGAAAATAAAACGAGTCAAAGTTATTTAAAAAAAGCAGCAGATTGCGTTGAATCTTCACTTCTTAGTATCCATCCTGCGCAGAACAGTGGCGACAGTGGAAAGGAATGACCCCTTTTTAACAGGAAGCAACCTCCAGCAGAACCAGGTTCAGGATGGTGTAGGGGTTTTAAACGATAGAATTCTAAAATGGATAATTTTTGAATTATTTAAACACGCAAATTATCTGTTCCTCGAGGCACCACTAAAG